TCATTCATATATACTTTTCAACTTTGTTCATACGTATGATTATCCTACCAAATCATATATCTTTACTCAACTCATAACATTATGTCATAAGCACTTAATCACTTAATCACACCTCCACATTTTGATACAAATTCTTATAAATTCAAATAACATAATTGTCAAAATTATGATGGACACAAAACTAGTATTACATCATACTTAATAACCACATTGAAAATCATTCAATCACTTAATTGCATATTCACATTCTCATACCAATGCCCATAAATTTATGTGTTAATCAATACTCATTAAGATTTCATTAGTTACCATGTCTTTATTGTATCATGCTTAACAACCATATAAAACTTCATTCAATCATCCCATACAACTCATGCCACTAGCAAGCTCATGATTACAAGTCAGATAATTCATAATAATCATTACCAACATGTTTGTATATCCACATCAACATTTTCATTACAATCAATAACAAATGATTGATAATTGTAAACAATAATTATCTACAAGAATTTAATTTTCAATTACATCAACTCTTGGATTACCACCCAAGAGTACACTTTGGATTCTGAGGAAGCTCTCAAGCAATTAACAAACTCTAGAGTGGTCAATCTACAATTAGTATCATTAAACCTTATTAATGGTTGATTGTCATTAATTAACCCTCAATCAATATTAAGGCTCAATACCCCCATTAAGTGTGTTTAATAAAATTAACTCTAAAACTCACTTCCATTAATTTATTTGACCTTCATAAAGCTTAAACTTAATGACCATAATCATCATTCCACTTGTATAACATTTATCTAGTTTCTACTTCCTCAAATCATCATAAAAACTTCCCCTCAAGTTTAAGGTTTTAGGATTTGAGCATCTCGTTGCCTTAATCATCATCAAAACTACTTAAACTAAACTTATTTAACCTCCAAATCACTTTAAAACTTGGACCCAATGAATGGGTACTCACAAAATTGAAAACTCAAGCTTAATGTAAGCTTAAACTAGTTTAAAGAGAAGATTAGAGGGAAGGAGGAAGATTATAAGTGTTACATTGAGAGATTGAGTTAAATTCGTGTCATAGTGTTAGAAACTCTAAAACCCTAGTAGAGCTCTTCAAAAATCGCTCAAAACCTCTTAAAAACTCAATATTAACGTTTTGGTTTGTAAATAGACATTTAAATTTGATGTTTGGCTATTTTGCACAGCAAAGGAGATACTAGCCACCGCAAAATGCTATAGTTTGCCCAATTTAAAAATTCATAATTAATTTCACACATCTTCAAAAATTATAAATTAAGACTCTATAGAAAGCTTGAGATGTTTACTTTCTAATGCAAAAATAATTACTCAAAAATATTATCATATGCTTTTATATAAAGACAACTCATTTCTTATCTTCTTCCAAATCCTCATTGATTATAAGTCATTTTTTAATATATTTAAATACCCTTAAACTCTCTTAAAATATTATTAACCTAATTAAATCAATGGGTGAGAATTTGAGATGTTACACTGACCACTAAGATCTATCAACTCCCTTAGCTTCTATAATTGTTGAGAGAAGATCTGCCATTTAGCTTCATCATCTACCCTAATTCCTAAATCAGCAACCTGTGAACCAGATTTGGCATCGAGAGTTTGCTGTTTAGTTGGACTGCCTTATAGAGCTCATGTTTTTTACGTGGGGACCTGCTTGGAATTTATATATCATATATTAAAATTATTTTTTAAAATTTATATATGATATATATATATATATATAAAAGTAATTTTCATTCAAGTATTCGAGCTTGGACCAAATAGCCTGAAAAATAAAAAATATTATTTTATTAAGCCTAACCCTAAATTTTTTTAAATTTATTAAAACTTTGTCCAAATCACAGAGTTTATTACAAAGTGTGGAAAAGAAGCCGAGAGGAATGGATGAGAGAGAACATGGGAGAGTAGAGAGGGGAGAGGAAGAAGATTGAGATCTACATATAATATTTTCTTATAAAAAATATAATTTAAAATGTTTGGAGGCAAAAAGACCCAAAATTAAGTTTAAGAACCTGCAAACTTTAAAACAAAAGTTTAGTGGCAAAAATGACTATTAATCTTTATAAAAATATGTAAAAAAATGCAAATGTTGTAACCTACAAAATGGCTGTTGAGCATGTTAATGTCGGGATCAAAAATGACCCACATGGTGGTTGTTCGGAGACAAAAATGGCCTAATATTGAGTTCAGAATATTCGTAGACCGTAAGGGTAAAATTCAAATACCAAAGTGATTCTTCATTGTAAAAACAGATATACTTTAGATTCATTTGCTTTCAACCCCAATCCTTCACTCGAGCAATAGAAGTTGAACTTGAAAAAATAATCAATTTTGAAGGAAAAAAGCTTACGAGTTTGAGCCCATGTACGCCATATGAATGAGGCTCGCTTATTTTCCAATTGTAGTTTAAGGTACTAAAAAAATGATAGATGCACGGGTTGAAAAAAAATTATACACGCAAAAAATATCAAATGAAATTTATTCTGCATAATTACGTTATATATATATATATATATATTTTATAATGCCAGAATATAAGAATTTTAATTTAAATTAAACAACAATACCTCAATTGGGACAAGGTCTCTGGTCAAAAAAAAAAAAATGTGGGACAAGGTCTTCAGCGTACTTGCCCGTGACTCTCACCATCACTGTCTTGTTTTGATCAGAATTCAGAAGGACATTCTCAAAGCAGCGCCCACTGAAAATCTGAAATACCAAAACCAGGGGCTCTCACTGTGGCCTTAATCTCTGTTCAGTTTTTTTTTTTTTAAAGGGAATTGTTAATAAAGACGAAATGATAAAATCACATGAATAAAAGGATCAACGTCTTTCAAATGAATTAACGTTGGATAAGAAAATATTTGAAAGACAAAGGACCTTAATTCATCACTTGAAAGACTTTGATCATGTTCCCTAGATATTGACAAACCCGGACATAAAAATTGCCTCATACCAATTGGGAGAAACATAAGTTGAATTCGTTCAACCCAATTTCATGTTGTGATCCTTTTTTTAAAAAAAAAAGAAAAAATTCAGTGGGTTAAATGAATCAACCCACCAATTAACTTAACTTTTTCTTCCTTTTTTGATAAATTAAAAAAATTGATATTTGAGTAATACATATCAATATATTATACAACTTAAAATTCAATCAAAACATATGCTTATCTATGTTAATAAGACAAAAAATTAAAATAAATCATAACAAAAATTAATTATCCGTCATCATATTCATGATTGAGTATATCCGCTGTAATTTCCAAAATAAATGAGCTATGTCAGGTGGCACCATAAACTTATGTGAATTAAGGGATCCAACCCTATCCAATTCATATAACAAGTTATCTGAATCAACCTATATAAAGCCTGGCGTATTCTTGACATTTTAAACAAAGATATAATCTATGTAAAACAAATTACTCTCGAGTCCAAATTAAATTAAAAGTTTTTTGCATGCAAAATAGACAATTCCAATTACATTTTGATTTGCGATGACATCATGACAATCAATAAAATTCAATTAAGGTTCAGTCATTACATCAAGCTGGCCTTTATTTGTCATGGTCAATGTTCACACATGGTTGGATCTTTGCGGCACCTTCAAGAGCTCAAAGTATATATGAATGGTGTAAAAATTTTGATAGATGAGATGATCAAGCATATAAAACATGCACTGTTATTAATGTTGCGTACGAAGAATCTTTCATAACATAAAGCTTTCCAAATTTTAAATGACATTTATATTATTAAGTTATTATCCACTTCTGTTAACATTTTCCGAATGGAACACATTGCTGAAAAGTTCAGTTACTTTATTGTATTGTCACAATTTACATTCCTTTGATTAGAAAATTACAAAAAAAAAAATACAACTTCAACAATTACATGAAATGACTAAAAAAATAATTGAAAAGTACTTAAAAATTGTAGAAAATGATCATAAAAAAACATGTTTTTACGTTTTTGTCCTTTTCTATAATTTGAAAAATTATCATTTAGTTCTCATAGTTTTAACTTAGTTGTAACTCAAGTCTTAAATTTTGACTCATTATAACTCAGTCTCTAAAGTTTTGACTTAATTGTAAATTAGTCCCTGAACTTTGCCTCTTGTAATCTAATCCCTAAAGTTTGAACCTATTAAATATTAGTCCCTATATTTTAAAAAGTAAAATTATAAAGATTAAAAATATTTAATCTTTATAAATATTAAAATTTTAAAATACTTTTAATCTTTATAATTTTACTTTTTAAAACATAGGGACCAATATTAAAATATTTTTAATTTTTATAATTTTACTTTTTAAAACATAGGGACCAATATTTAATAAATTCAAATTTCAGGGACTAAATTGTAAAAGATAAAGTTTAAGGACTGATTTACAACTGAATCAAAACGCTTGAGTTATAATAAATCAAAATTAAGGGACTGAATTACAACTATAAGGACCAAATGATGTTAATTGACTACTAAAATTAATATAAAGGAAGAGATTGCTATAATTTTAAATGTTTAGAGATGAAAATACATAACAAATGATTTTAAGATCTCCTATAGCTTAACAGTCAAATAGTCATTTTATCCTTAATGTTGTGCTGCAAAATTTCAGTGAAAATTTTTACTCAAGCATTTATTTAAATTAAAAATAAATATATTTTAAGAATACACAACATATATGTGTGTGTTTTAACCAGAATTTCAAAAAAAAAACTAGAAGAAAATAATTTTTCTATTTATTGGTGTGATTATTAATTATATATATCCACAAATATCTAAGAATCTAATAAATTTATTGACAGAAAATTAATTTTTTTGGCTGTAATTTGTGCTATCTAAAACTAAATGAATTTTCTACAAAGTGTATATAATTGTTTGTATTACAATTTTCTTAAAATTATTATCTCATTCATAGATTGCACAAAATGACAATTATAAAGCTGAACTTAAATATTTATATACATATAACTGTATAAACTCTAGCCATTTCTATAATTTATGACTCAAACAATATGACAATTTTTTTAGAGTTTAGAAACATATATAGGATTAACACACGACTTGAAAACAAAATGTTTACAAAATTTAATTAAATGATTAATAATAATAGCCTAATATCAGCAATCCCATTCCAATATAATAGTGGGGGGAGAGAGAGAAGTGAGAGTGAGCGACGTCGTTTCATGCCGATTCTGTGGATACTCCATAAGAGACAATGGAGGCATAGCTGCAAGGCATAGGCAGATACAATCAATATATGCAATCAATAACTTGGGACTTGGAAGGACCAAATTGGAAACAACATAATATAATTTAGAATGATCTAAATTTTAAGCTTTAGATTTGTGGTTGTTAAATAATAAAATCATTTTTTCAATAAAAATGTCAGTTAAAAATTATTTTATTTTAAATTATGCACTTTTTAAAATAAAAAACAATTAAAATGTAAAAAAATAAATTTATATAATTCAATATTTTTTCAATGAAACATTTTGGTATTTTGGGACTATCTCACATAAAGATAAAGGAACTTAAGAGGCTTAGACTAATCCAAATTGAAATGGGTTGATATCCTTTCAGGTGGATATTCTACCCAATATTGAAGCCACATGTAAGCAATGGGGGCATTTGAAAAAATTAGATACTAAGGATATAAATTTTTAATATTTTTGGATTCAAACTCAAGGCTTGTTGTTAAATTGATATAATTATTTTAAGAAAGAATGATAGAAATATCTCAAAAGAATTAATTAATTCAACTTAAGTTTCAAGTGGTAATTTATAAAAATTTACAAGTTTAGCTCTTGATTTTGCAATTTTGTTATGATCAATTTACAACTTGTGTTTTAAATTTTAATAAAAAAAAATATTTTTTATTCTTTAATCATGTAAAAATTTTAAAAAATATGTAGTAAATTTATCATAATGAAATTGTGAAATTGAGAGTCGAATTTGTAAATTTTTAAAAATTGATACTTAAAATCTAGGTTTAATTAATTGATTTTTTAGTACCTTTATGCCATTCTCTCCCTCTTTTTTAAACCACTTAAACAAGGTGGTTTGTGGTTATATAATTCAATAATAATCTCAATGAGTTCAATTTCAAGTGATAACTCCGCGGATGGAATAAGACAAGGGCATGAGACAAGGGCTTGGAGTTCACGGGTTCATTGTTCTGACTTCTTACCGTTTAAAAGCATTACTTTTTTTATTTTAAAAGAAAAAAAGAATCAATCATGTTAGCCACCATATAATATAAATATAGACACTCACTCTCTCTCTCGGCCAGCGACACCAAACAGTCATAATCACTGTCGAGTAACCAGACAACCACATGTGAAAAAATAAGAGGCAAAATATATTATTGATAATCAAAAAGCAGGAAAAAAAGACCCTTCAACTTATATTTTAACTTGTATAGCTTTATTACGTATGTGTATATGTATATGGAATGATTTGTTGATATGTTTAACAATAATGCATACATAAGGTTATTATCAGCTTATTATTGACATGTATTCTCTGAGTAAAGCGCTTTTGTATACCCTAAAAGGAAAAAAATGATCAAGTAGAAAACGAATTATACTTTTGAAAAAAGTGATTATAATGCATTGTTGAAGGAACAGGTTAAAAGCCATAAAAATAAATCCCCACTAATATATTTCTACACAAAAAAATTAAATACTTGTGCATTATGTAACAAATCAAGTTAAAAAAGATCTATGTTTTTGCTATACACATTATCCATTTAAAAAAAAAGTGTGTTAACATTAAAACTTGGTTTTAAAAAAAAATTAAATCCTTTTACATATCTATCATGTAAAGTGGTCACTAACTCACTATTAATAGAAAATCGTGCTGAGTTTTAAATCTTGAAAGAAGGAGTAAACAAGATTAAAATAAACATGATTTTTCTTGATATCAATCCAACATTTTCTAAATTAAAAATGTTTTGGATCTTATTTGAATTTTTTACATGAATATTTTAATAATTTGCTAACATAAACTAGAAAAAAAAAAAAGCCTTTTCTTGTTCTTTTATTTGGAATTTATAACTTTAATTCTTATAAAAATTTTAAATTTCTAAAAAGTTCATTCATAGACGATTACAATTTTACTATTTACAATAATATATATATATATATATAACATTTCAGAAAATTAAAAAAAATAACAAGTAAGGATCTCATAAAAAAATTAGTACTAAATTAGTATTTCTTCATAATTAAAATTCACACATTCAATTTTTCTTTTTCCATATTTCAATAATAAAAATCTTGATTTGAAAATTACAAGAAATATAATTTTCTTAGGGTGTGTTTGATTAAGGAAAGGAAAGGGGAGGTGAGGGAAGAAGAGGAAAGGGAGGGAGAGGGGGAGGAGCTCCCCCCAATTTGGAGGGGAGGCTTTGGAGAGGAGGAAAAATTTCCCCTCCCCTCCTTCTAACCAAAGGAAGGGTGGGGAGGGAGCCCCTCCCTCCTCCCCAACCAAACACACTCTTAAAAAAATAAATGTAAAAAGTTGAACTTGCAACTATAGAGGAGTGAGAGAGAAAGAAGAAAGAAGAGTGTTACCTACCAGACGGCGTCCTTTAAGGTGGAGATCGAGTGTGGGGTATCAGAGCGAACAAGTGTAACCAGGAGGAGGAATCTTGCCGCAGGTGATGAGAAGTTGAAGAGCGAGAGGCACATAAATGTCGAGATTCAGAAGCTTCAGCTTCAATGTCGTACACAGACACACGGCGGCTTCAAGGTCGACGAGCCCTGCAAGCACGGGACAGCACTGGTTCATCACTGGGTTTCCTATCCCTATGTGGACCAGCCCTCCCAGCAGATCCACGCACGCCCCGAGCTTTACCGTGTCCACCGGGCACGTCGCCTCAGCCGGATGCGCCGGCGGCGGCAGCGGGAGAGTCCTGGGTGGGAGCTTGGGCGGCTTCTGATGCCTCTTTGGGGGCTTGCTTCTGCTGCAGTGGGTGCAGCCAAGAGAAGGAGTTGCAGAGGAGGAGATGAAGAGCAAGCATATGATGAGGGAAGCATAAATCTTGGAGGAGATCATCATCTTCTTTATTAGGATTTTTTAGTTTCTCTCTCTAACTCTCTCTGTCTCCGTGACTGGAAGCTGGAGAGGTTTGAGTGAAGACGGTCTCGGGAAGAAGTTTGCATATAGGTTTGAGTGAAGGAGGTGTCGTGTTATATAGCAATTCTCTCTTGGGGACTGAAATATATGTGGGTGGTGATGCCTCAATATCTTTTTAAAAAGTTATATACATATTTGCAAAAAGTATTAAAACCAAAGCAGTAATTAAACTAATTGAGATACTAGTTCAAAAATTAGTTGTGAAAATATAATCAAACTATCATGATTAAATGAATCATAAATAAAGCATTTTTTTAAACCAATTTAAACAATGATTTTGTGATTTACTAGTTTAACTAAGTTGACTTAAATTTTCATATTATACATAGGAGTGTGTATTTACGGGGGGAAGTTTTTTTTTTTTTTCTTTGAAATGCAAGGTCACGGGTAAAAATTTGTGGAGTCATGTTATAACATAAAAGTTTTTTACATCTTGGTGAAGGCATATAAAAGTTCTCAATATATCTAAACTATCATGGATGGGCCAAAGAGCAAGTTAACCAGTGCATTAATTCGCTTCCTTATCCATATATGATTGAGTGATCACTTCTTTCATCGCTTGGTTTTTCATTTGAGAGTTGACATACTATAAAAAAAATGACGTTTAGCGACGACACTATATGATTGAGTGATCACTTCTTTCATCGCTTGGTTTTTCATTTGAGAGTTGACACACTATAAAAAAAATGACTTTCAGCGGCAATACTAAAAAATCACTGCTGATTCTCAACTTTCAACAATGATAGTAAAAGTCGCTGCTAAAAGTGTGACTTTCTGTAGCGATATTTGAAGTCACTGCTGAAATAGTGACTTCTGCGGTGACAAGATATAGTCGTCACTGATTGTCAAATTTTCAGTGGTGACAAATGTATGTTGCCGCGGAAAGTCACACTTTCAGCGACGACATTTACTGTCGCTGCTGAAAGTTGAGAATCAACGGTGACTTTTTAATGTCGCCACTGATTGTCAATATATTTTGAAATATGTTATAATTTTTTTAAAAAATTATGTTGTAAGTTTCAGCGGCGATAAACAAGTCGCTGCTAAAAGTTGAGAATTAGCGGCGACTTTTTAGTGTCACCGCTGATTGTCAATATTTTTATAATTTTTTTTAAAAAATTATGTTGTAAGTTTCAGCGGTGACATACAAGTCACTGTTGAAAGTTGAGAATCAATGATGACTTTTTAGTGTCGTCGCTGATTGTCAACATATTTTAAAATATATTATAATTTTTTTAAAAAAATTACGTTGTAAGTTTTAACGGCAACATACAACTTGCTGTTGAAAGTTGAGAATTAGCGGCAACTTTTTAGTGTCACTGCTGATTGTCAATATTTTTATAATTTTTTTTTAAAAATTATGTTGTAAGTTTCAGCGGTGACATACAAGTCACCATTGAAAGTCGAGAATTAATGGTGACTTTTTAGTGTGGTCGCTGATTGTCAATAGATTTTAAAATATGTTATAATTTTTTTAAAAAAATTAAGTTGTAAGTTTCAACGGCAACATACAACTCGCTGCTGAAAGTTGAGAATTAGTGGTGACTTTTTAGTGTTACTGCTGATTGTCAACATTTTTATAATTTTTTTTAAAAAATTATGTTGTAAGTTTCTGTTGCCGCTGAAAGTTGAGAATCAGCGATGACTTTTTAGTGTCGTCACTGATTGTCAACATATTTTAAAATATATTATAATTTTTTAAAAAAATTATGTTGTCAGTTTCAGCAGTGACATACAAGTCGTCACTGAAAGTTGAGAATCAACGGCTACTTTTTAGTGTCGCCGCTGATTGTCAATATATTTTAAAATATGTTATAATTTTTTTAAAAAATTATGTTATAAGTTTCAGAGGCGACTTTTATGTCATCGCTGAAAGTTGAGAATTAGCGGCGACTTTTTAGTGTCGCCGTTGATTGTCAACAATTTTAATTTTTTTAAATTATGTTGTAAGTTTCAACAGTAACATACAAGTCGCGGTTGAAAGTTGAGAATCAACGGCGACTTTTTAGTGTCACCGCTGATTGTCAACATATTTTAAAATATGTTATAATTTTTTTTAAAAAAATTATATTGTAAGTTTCAGCGACGACATACAACTCGCTGTTGAAAGTTGAGAATCAGCAGCGACTTTTTAGTGTCGTCGCTGATTGTCAACGTTTTTATAATTTTTTTTAAAAAAATTATGTTGTAAGTTTCAGCAGCGATATACAGGTCGCTGTTGAAAGTTGATAATTAGCAGCAACTTTTTAGTGTCGTCACTGATTGTCAACATTTTTATAATTTTTTTTTAAAATTATGCTGTAAGTTTCAGCGACGACATACAAGTCGTCGCTGAAAGTTGAGAATCAGCGGCAACTTTTTAGTGTCGTCATTGATTGTCAACATTTTTATAATTTTTTTAAGGAAAAATTAATCTTTTAGTCCTTCAACTTTTGCGTCACTTGTAACTCAGTCCCTCAACTATGACTCTCTGTGACTCAGTCCCTCAACTATAACTCGTCTATAACTCAGTCCCTCAACTTTTAAATCACTTACAAATTAGTCCCTTAACCTTTATTAATTTTTTTATGTTAGCTTATATCTCAAATTAATGAATACAAAGAGGTATTTTAAAATAATATATGAGCATTTTTTATCCCTCTTATTTGATAAAAAAATTTTAAAAAATTAAAAAATAAGGACTGAGTTATAAGTGAGTTAAAAATTGAAGGACTAAAAGATTAATTTTTTATTTTTTAAAAAAATTATGTTGCAAATTTCAACGGCGACATACAAGTCGCCGTTGAAAGTTGAGAATCAGCAGAAACTTTATAGTGTCACTGCTTATTATCAACATTTTTATAATTTTTTTTAAAAAATTATGTTATAAGTTTCAGCGGTGACATACAAGTCGCCGCTGAAAGTCGAGAATCAGCAGCGGCTAATTGTCAACATTTTTATAATTTTTTTGTAGTGATATTTCTTACGCTTTCAAATTAAATTTTATGACAAGTTTAATTTTTGTGTTTTCAAAATTAGATTAAAGTATTTTCCATAGAAAAAAATATATTTTTGTTTTACTAATCTCATGATATTCTTTTTATTTAAATTTTAATTTATTTCCATTTCCATTTATTTAACCAAGTTGTATGTATGTATAGATACACAAACATATCTTGTAATATTACAAGTAAAGAGAGGTTTATATTACGAGATAGAGAAGAGCCATTTAATTTAATGCCTGCAAAATTAAAAGTCTTCTGATTTTATAGAAGTTTAGAAAAATTATGGTTAAATTAGCTCTTCTGATTTGCTTCACCTAATTACCTTTTTTTTTGTGCTTAGATTATTTTTTGACAAGATTCAACTCTTATTTTTCTTTTGCTTTTTCTTTTTCTTCTTTTGTCATATTTTTTTTCACCTGTTATTTCTTGTATCTTTTTCTATTTCAAAAAGAATTTGGATATTCTGCACAAATATCTCTTTTAAATTTTTCTCTTATTTAATTTACTCTATTTTCTATTTTTGGGATTTTTATTTGTTCGTCAATTCTTTTATAATGTATTTCTTTATTTCTACCTCTTCTATTTCTCCTTCAGGTTCACTATTCCTATTTGGCTATAAACTGAGACTCTTAAAACTTATTTTTTTTCTTCTTTTTTGACTTAGATCCTAATATTTTATCGAACCATCTCATATTTCTATTTCTACAAGTTTTATTTTCTATTAATATTGTTCTTCCTAGGCTTAATAGGAGCACTATTGCCTAACTTTTCTATTCTTTCACAGAATTTTTGAATATTATATTTCTTAAATATTCTCTGTTTCTTACTAAACTTACTTGGCAATATCATTTTTTATAAGTTATATGTGATATTATGTTCATGTATCTTTGTTGATTTATTTCAAAAGGGGTGTCATCTATTTCATTTTCTATATTTTCTTTTATTTTTATTTTACTAGTTATAACGAAGAACAATGAATTATACTGTTTTAATATATGGACAAATAATTAATATTATAAATATCACAGGATTAAAGTTATGCAATGAAATAGAAATGTAAAAAGAAATACATAATGATACAAAACAAGAAAAAACTAGAGTTAGGAAAATACAAGCCCCTTCTAGAAAAAATAAAAAAAGAAATTATATATAATATTCTTATAAAAGATATATGAGACATAAAAAATATTTCCTAAAAAAACATAGAAAAGCCTTTAGAAAAGATAATTTTAAAAACGATAAAATAGAAATAATTTGTTATAAATGTGAAAGATTTGGCCATTTTTATAATTTTTTTTTAAAATATGTTGTAAGTTTCAGCGGTGACATATGAGTTGCTATTGAAAGTTAAAAATCATCGGCGACTTTTTAGTGTTGCCGCTAATTATCAACATTTTTATAATTTTTTTTAAAAAAATTATATTGTAAGTTTCAATGACGACATACAAATTGCTGCTGAAAATGAGACTTTTAGTGGCAACTTTGAATGTCGTCACTGAAAGTTTGATTTTGTATTATCATCATAATTTTTTATTTTTATTTATCTAATATTTAACATTTTAAGACATTAATTTTATTGTATTATTGTAAATTTATAATGAATATATAAAATAATATAATGAGTTTTCATTTAATATATTCTATGGTTAAATTGTAACTTTAAAATTCAACCGAGGTTAGCAAACTAAGATTAGAAAAAAAGTCAGTAAATGTAATATGATTTATGTTTGGATATGTTTTTTTTAGAATTGTGTTAGATAAATTAAAATTTCTTTAGATAATTTTATTCAAAAGCTAGTTAAAATGTTTAATGGTCAAAATAAGCATGAAATTTTTAATATATATATTTTGACTAATTAATAACTAAAACAAATTAAATTTAAAATTATAACTAATAAGTAAAAAAATCTTAAATATTCAAGATAAAAGAGAAGAGAGAGAAAGCATAAGTCATCAGATCAATTTAGAAGTCAATAATACTACTTGTTTATAAGAATTAAATATGTGATACTTAAATTTACTCATTTATAGAATGATATTTCATCTAATTTAATTTTTTAATTTAAATTT